TAGATTATGGTATTTACTATTTATTAGCTTGTTGGTGTAAAAAAATTATATAATTGCATAAAGTTTAGGACACAAAAAGTTGTATTTTACTTAAATTTTTTTCCTGGTTTGTGCTCAATGCCCAAGTCTGACTAAATGCCTGACTAGTTTGTTAATAAACTCCATAAATGAGCATGTTTTTATGACATCCCTTAAATTAAGTTAATCTATTGTGCTGTACGTTGCATTTGTATGTTAACTTTATATTTCAATATGTTGTGATCCATTGTTTTACATTTCTGAACTAAAGTTCAACCTTATTATGGGTTCAACTGTATTGTTGTCATGCTCTTCGGACCCAGCTGTGATACCCCTCGGATCCGAGACACGGGTTGATCAGGCCCAGGCCCAAACCCGAGGGAATATCAAACAATTAACGTATTTTAAAGCGAACACAGATGACAAAATGAAATAATAAAGATGGAATAAAACTGAAAGAAACATAAATTATAAAATCCTCCATGTATAACTGAAAATTGAAACTCCAATCCTCCAAAACTTCAAGATTACAACTTGGGAATCCACTGATGGACCCCTAACCCAAAGTTCAACTGAAACTGAAAACTGAAAATAGATAATGCTAGAAATATCGAGAGAAGTCCTACGTAATCAGATGAAGGTGAGACTGTCCTCGACAAGCACGATCAAGCTCTAAGGCTGGAACCGTCTTGTACCTGAAAAGAATAATAAAGGAGTGGGTCATACCCACGAGCAAGTTCTAATCTAACTGCAATCCATACAGTGACCCGATACGCAGATACACCGTAGACACCTCACAATATCTATCTAGTCCATACGTATAAATATATCCACACTAAGGGACATTCACTAGTCTATAATAGGGGTCTCAACCTGAATAGAAGGCAACATGCGAATACGCACCCAAAGGTGGGCATGAGTACCTAGACCTAACAGGGTACACCTCAACCTATTATAACCAGCTACGCATCCACTGCATATACGCACCCTAACCAACGAGTCTGAGACTCAAGCTCAACTCGTGGTACCATAAACACATATATAAAGTCCGTCCAAATCCAGGGTAAGCAGTTCAACTATTTATTAAACTGACATACAATAAGCCAACTAGTTAGTCACTCAACTTATTCAGTTGATATGACTTAACTACCATCCGTTAATCCAGGAAGTCATCCAACTTGGTTACAGCTGGTCTGACTTAGTCACAATTAGGATTCGATATCTTTCAATCCATTTCATTAATCCATTAGGTTAGGTTTATGCGTTTTGAGCTAAACCGTCCCTAGTATGTCACCGTCCCCTACCGGTACATACAATCTTCCATATCCATGTAAATTACAACATATATAACAGTTCAATAATTTACAGACCAAAAACCACCATCCAATACTTGCAGAAGGAATCATAACAATCTAGCAAATAAAATCCAGTAGTAATCCATGTAATTGCATCGGAGAATAAACTATTCTAACAATTAACATCCAACACATGCATAGTTCAAATTTAATAAAACAATGACCCTATCATGTATTTAAAATTAGTTCTATAATAATATTATAGTCCAATAATTCGCTAAATTAAACTAAGCGATCTAGTTCCCTCCATCCGGTAACAGAGTACTAAGTCATATACTTATACTGTGTTGTATCCTTTAGCACAGAGCCCCCACTATGCCACAAGTCCAATATATTACTTTAAAAGACTTCATCATGCATCTAAAATAAATTTAAAATCATTTTATAGCCCCCTAAACCATCAGATTTAAATTAATCAACAAATCTCCTTTCAGCCGTTAACTGTACGCAAAGTTGTCAAATAGCGTACTGTTAATTCCATTTAAACTAAGGGGTAAATTTATGCAATTCAAGACCTTAGTTACAAGTTAAAATTATTATTTAACACCCAACTAAAATTTTAAAACTGATTAATAACCCAGATTGCCCAAACAGTGAACATAGTACCTAGAAAAGTTAAAAAAAACTTAAAATAAATCAAAAATAACAAGGAAGCCTGCTCCAGAATTTGGAGCAGGCTCTTTTCCAGCCTAGAGTCGGCTCTAGGACTTCTTAGAGCCGGCTCTACTTTGTTGTGGGAGCCGGCTCCCACTTCTATGGAGTCGGCTCTCACCTCCTTTGAGAGCCCCTGTCCCCGTTGCTTCGTTTCAGTCCGTCCGCTCCTTCTCTGATCAAATTCAACCACTCTGTTGGTCTCTAAACCTAATCTTAGGACTCTTAATTTAGTCTAAAAGCATTCCCCAAGATTGTTTACAATAGTTTTGCAAACAATTACAGAGTTTAATCAAGCCATTTAAACTAGCATAGTTGAAGAACAATACTGAAACTAAATTGCGACATCAGTTTTATCCCAACCCCTCTATTCTTCCTCCAATTTTAAATTTGAAGTCTTAAATTACATCTAGTATTCAATCAGACCTCGGTTAATTTCAGTAAGATTCAAAACAAAAATTAAATCAGTGAGACGTTACGCCAAAACAGAGTCAAGAAGACATACGTGCTACAATTGTTTTGTAAATAAATTTCACAGATAAAACGATCAAGTAAAACATATATAAAACATGCATGGTTCAGTTTAAGGCCAATTAATCTCCTAGAGATGTCCAGGTGCACAGAACACAAATCAAAGAGAAGGAGGAAGATAAGAACTTGCCTTTGAGTTTCAGACTTGAAACTCTAAATTCCCAGTTCTGTATTGCCCGTTCAATTCCCCACTACTGTTCCACAAACCCACGTTCCTTCTACCTTGTTTCCACCTATCCTTCCTCTCCTATCTCTCTCTATTCTCCCTCTGTATCCCACGATCTCTGTTGTTCTTACAGAAATTACGTTTAATTATTCTAAAACCCTAAACCACCGTGACACACATACTTATAGGCTTAGTGATTAACCCTAATCCATGTAACCTTTAAGCCAGAGCCCACCTAGGCCCATAAACTTACCTAAGATAAATACCTACGTCGGCCACCTATGTGAAACTGCATTAAATAAAATTGATTAAACAATTAAATAAACACAATTAAATAAATAAATAGAATTATATAAACAGTTACCAAAAACATATTAAGTAACAGGACTGATTAAACAAATAAACCATTAAGCAATTAATTAAACCAAATAATGCACATACAACTAATTTAAACAAATGAAAAAAACAATAAAATAAATAAAAATAGACAATAAAATAAAGAAAAATGTAATACAATAAATATTAAAAATGCCGAGACTATCCTTTTAAAATTAGGGGTATTACACCAGCATCCCATCTGGTCCATTGAGTTCAAAGAAAGGGACTCAGTGTTCTACTACAGTTTGAACTACTATGATTATTGAGTAGCATGTTAAGCATCGAGTGAGCTATTTATGCATGGTTTAATTTTTGGCTGGTTTATGGCTTGTTAAGTGTTTTGCTTGTTAATGCTTATAAATTAATGATATATGAGTGATAGGAGTGAAAGTTATAATCATAATGATAATGGAAAGCTAATTTTTGATTGTTTTTCTTATCTTCTCTTCCCTTTTTCTTGTGATTTTGACTTTGATTAATTGCTTTGCATGCGTTGATAGAGCAAAAGAAGTTTTTTAGTGTCTTTGTAGTGAAGTCTGAGAGTGAAAGGTTAAGGAGGAAATGTTTCACCTTCTTTTGGCTATTTTCTGGCCTTAGCAAAAAGTCCATGATGATGAGAAGGTTGATGGTAGAAGAGAATCCACAAAGAAAAGAGAGAACAAAAAGGCGGGAAAACACTTACTTCTTGGCTGAGGAGCCTTCAATTTCCATGTCACACTTTCTCCCTTTTAATTATTGTAGACTATATACAACTCTAGGCCACCCTGCACACTCATAAAGACACCAAAGTCTCAAAATTGCTGGACCTTAAAACTCAGGTCTCCTTAATCCTCTTCATTTGCTTTGAAAAAACCAAAAAAATCAGTTTAGATATAAATGAGCAAATACAGAAAATACATATAATCATTTCCCTATATATGGCTGGTGTCTAAGGGGTATTCATCGTGTTTAGATACCAGGTTATAGAGATGTCTAGTGTCAAGGGAATTATAAATTTTATTTTTCATTTCTCCACCTTGTTTCTGATAAGAAAGACAAATATAATCTTAATTCCACTATATCTACCTTTGTAGCAAAATTTAGATTAGTTACCATTTATCCCCCTTTTCGCTAAAAATCTTTGTCACTATCACAAGGCGAATGATTGCTCCACCTCAATAATTATTTAGGATTTGCTTTTTGGTTCCGTCCATGTATTTGCCTATCTTCCTAAAAGCTTATGGAGGGCCAAATTGAAGTTTCATTGGTATCATGGGATATACCAATTGTTTTATATATATATATATATATATATATATATATATATATATATATATATATAGGTATACAAACCCCTAACAAATGATTGGTGGGCTAGTTTTTTCTTTTTATCTTTATTCTAGAGCATTAGTAATCAATAAATCAGGAAAACTTCAATTTTTAAGCAAGATTAGGAAAACTTCAGCTGCACTGCATATTAGTTTGCATAGTCTACATAGAACTATGATGTTGCAAGATCTTTGGCAAATGAAGTTTGGGCATACACTATCATGTGCTGAGTGTTGAAATTCTGTTGTCCTTCATTTTCTTCATGCCATATAGATATCTCATTTTTGTCTTAGTATGGTACATCTGCTCTTTTTGTAACAATGCTCTTTTTTTGGCTTTTCCTTAGTTTTGCAATGCTTGGTTGAGCATCAATGGAAGTCCCTTAACAATCAACAAGGTGGGGAAAGGCATTCACGCCGGATCAAGATGTAGCAATTTGCAATGCTTGGTTGAGCATCACCCAAGATCCAATTGTTGGTAACTCACAATCACAAACTAATTTTTGGAGTCGGATATTCTAAAATTATCTTGAGCACAGCAAGGATAAAATTGTACGAACACAAGGTTCTATCCAATCTCATTGGGGTGTAATCATGAAGTGTTGTGGTAAATATAGTGGGTGCCTCAGACAAATTGAAAATAGGCAACAAAGTGGAATCGGTGAAACAGATAAGGTGAGATTTCTACTTTTCTTGTTAGTTCTAATTTTAATTTTTATACATTTAATTTTATTTCATATCATTTTCTAGGTTTTGCAAGCAAAAAATTTGTATTATGAAAATGAGAAAAAACATTTTACTTTGGATCACTGTTGGGCAATCTTGAAACATGGCATTAAGTGGGAAGATTTGGGATCCTCCAAAAAGCTAAAGTCTCCTGCAATGACCCCATATTCCTCTTCCGCATCCCAAATTCCCAAGACGTCCATTTCTCTCGATTCCGATCAAGATCCAATCGAAAAATCTGTTAACTCTCCAAGAACCAAAAGGCCTAGTGGAAGGAAAGCTGGAAAAGAAGCATGTAGGAAAAGCAAGATAGCAGATACTTCAGACTCTCGTTTTTGTGATTTGATGGAAAAATTTAACGAAAATACAACTGAGGGTAGAATGAAGAAGTTTGAAATAGAAGAAAGAAAAGTTAAAGTAATGGAGCAAATGTATCAAATGGAGCAAGAAGAGAAAGAAGCCAAGGAAAAAGAAAGAGACGATAAGATTATGATGATAGACCTTTCCAACATGGACCCTCAAGCAAAAGTTTATTACCAGCTGCGCAAGAATGAGATTCTTGCCAAACTACAAGCACGCTCAACAAATTTTGATTATTATGTTCCTCTTCCCCCATCTCCACCATGAAGGACACGTGAAGATGTGATTTCACTTTTGTAACTAGTTGTCGCCATTTTGTGTAAATGGGCTGTTAGAAACAAATCTTCGGATTTGGAGGGGATGTGTGTCCCTCTTCAGTGTTCTTTTTGTGTAAATCAGAACTGTTTAGTGTTCCTTTTGTGTAAATCAGAATGGTTTAGTGTTCCTTTTGTGTAAATCAGAATGGTTTAGTGTTCCTTGTTTCAGTTAGGGAAAAAAAATTAGTTAAGTCAGCTATTTTTACTTAAATGATGCCATTTTTTGTTTTTGTTTTTTTGCTTTTTGTTTTTTGTTTTTTTTTTTTTTTGTAGGATATGCATGATTTCCCGTTCAATGTTCCAGTACATATATGTATGATTTTCTGTTCAATGTTAGGAAAAACCTTTGCTTATACCACCTCAAATTGGTTTTAATCAAGTACATGAAATATGGATAATTCATTGATTTTTAATAAGGTAAATAAGCCAAATATTTTTATTTATTTTTAATACCGCAAAGAAGGCAAATATTTTTATTTATTTTTAATAAGGCAAACATGCCAAATATTTTTATTTATTTTTAATATGGCAAACAAGCTAAATAAATTATAAACACTCAAAAAAAAAAAAAAAAAAAAATACAAACTCAGTTGTACACTATCTAGTGTACAAAACACACATACTAATAAATCAAGGATCCAAGCAAAAGATATATAAAACACACTTCTTCAAGTCTCTCCTTGTCATGACCACAAATGTTCAATAAGATCATTACGGAGTCTGTGATGGATTGTAGAAGATCGAATCATACCATGCCAAGCGAGGAACTCAGAAAACAACAGTGTCGGCTCTCGCAACACTTCAACTGGATGCACCGTTTCGGGTGCATCATACTCGTCATCTAGAGAGTCATCATGCTCATCTTCAATGATTATGTTGTGCAAAATTATGCACGCCTTCATGATATAGCCAAGATCTTCATGGCTCCAAAATCTTGCCAGCCCCCGCACAATAGCAAAACGTGCTTGCAGTGCACCAAATGACCTTTCCACATCCTTCTGATATGACTCTTACATTGTTGCAAATAGTTGCCTTTTCAATCCTTGAGGTTGAGAAATTGTTTGGACAAGGGTTGCCCACTTAGGATAGATACCATCAGCAAGATAATATCCCATATTGTATTGGTTGCCATTGATGGTATAGTTGGCAGCAGGGGCACGTCCTTCAATGAGGTCAGCAAAGAGAGGAGACTGATCAAGAACGTTGATATCATTAAGGGATCTAGGCATACTAAAAAAAACATGCCATATCCACAAATCATACGAGGCCACTGCCTCAAGTATAATTGTTGGTTTATGTACATGCCCCGTGAATTGACCATGCCATGCAGTAGGACAATTCTTCCATTTACAATGCATATAATCCAAACTCCCTAACATTCCGGGAATTCCATGTTTCTCCCCCTCCCGTAGCAGTTTGGAAATGTCCGCCTCAGTTGGCGATCTCAGATATTCTTCACTATAAATGCTAATGATTCCTACACAGAATCTTTTCAAAGACTCAATTGTTGTGCTTTCACCAATTCTCACATACTTGTCAACAGCATCAGCGGGCACACCATAGGCAAGTATTCGAATTAGCGCAGTCATCTTCTGCAAACCGGATAATCCGAGAAAACCGGCGGCGTCAATCTTTTGGAAAAAGTAGTCATCATATTGTTCAATCGCATTTAATATACGAAGGAATAATGGAAGATTCATTCAAAAGCGTTTTTGAAAGATGTTAGCCAGGTAGACAGGATTTTCAGTGAAGTAATTTTTGATTAGTCGCTCGTTGCCGGAGATTCTGTCATGATGGATGCATCGCCGACCACTTACAGAACCAACATGCATAGTTGGTTGGTTGTCTCGTTGCATCTTCCTTCTGTTAAACTCTGATGCCATAAGTTTCATAACCTCTGCGCTTTGATCTTCATTAGATGAAGAATCATTGAAATCTTTTCTCAAAATCGCTCTTCTCAAATTGCTCATTGTAGTACTAAAGTTATAATGAAGGAAGATAGTTTGTAGGTAGAGGATGATGGTATTTATAGATGGAGAAATGATAGTTGAGAATGGTAGGTGGGAATATTAGTTGAAAAAGAATGGTAGTTGGGAATGGTAGCTGGGAATGTTAGTTGAAAAAGAATGGTAGTTGGGAATGGTAGCTAGGAATGGTAGTTGAAAAAGAATGGTCGTTGGGAATGGTAGTTGAGAATGGTAGTTGAGAATGGTAGCCGGGAATGGTAGATGAAAAAGAATGGTAGTTGGAAATGGTAGCTGGGAATGGTAGTTGAAAAAGAATGGTAGTTGGTAATGGTAACTGGGAATGGTAGTTGAAAAGATAGTTGACAATGGTAGTTGAAAAAGAATGGTAGTTGAGAATGGTAGCTGGGAATTGTACTTGGAAATGGTAGTTGAAAAAAAAGGTAGTTCAGAATCGAGAACGAGAATAAAGATGGAGGCGATTGGGGAAGCTGAAATAATTTGCCCTAAAAATATTTTATTTTTTAACAATAATATAATCAAATATAATACATATACATATATATATATAAATTCCCGAAAAAAAAAAAAATATATATATCATTTTGTTTTATCTGTCTCTTTTTTTTTTTTTTTTTTTTTTTTTTTGACAAGATATTTTAGATTTTTGCTTCTTTTTAGTTAGGTTTAATTTTAGTTTCCTTCTAATGCCTACAACTTAACTTGGAATGTGACTAATATTAATATTACTGATGCAAGTATGAATGGTGGAAATGGTAGTTGAAAAAGAATAGTGGTTGTGTCAAAAAATAGTATTTTGCCTAAAATGCACCATTAGAGTAGAATTGTAAAATGTAGCATTTTGACACTGTAGCACTGTCAAAATACAGATTTGGCCTCCAATTTAGCATTTTACCATTGGAGATGCTCTAAGAAAGCAGTTTGTAGTGGCCCATGAAACACAGACACCGACTCGGGAGACAGGTACGACACGAACACTCAGATACAATAAATCTTAAAAAAAATAAGATACGGACACGATGCGACAATAAAATAATAATATATATTTTTATTATATATAAAATTTTACTTTCACTTATAATTTTATTTATATTAATAGACATAACTCATTTATTTTAATTCCAATCAAAAAAAGATTAAAATAAAAACAATAAATAAGTAATATCTTTGTATAAATACTATAATAGTTAATTTGTAACCAAACACATTGAAAAAGACATCAGTTTTCAATGTTATCTTCTTGGTCTTCCCACATTGATGGATTATCTTCTCTATCCTCTAAGCGGCGTCTCTATTTCCTCTGTCTCTTAACTTTCTTTCTCCCTTGTCTTTCATTAATGACTCTATTTTACAATATAGTGATATATGAATGATTATCCATACAGAAGTTCAATCAAACCATTAAAAGAAGATTTTCTCTTTAATTCTCTGAATCAAATTAGGACTCGGTAGACTTCAATCAATTTACACCAACAAACCATGATCATCAGGTTCTTCATCATCTCTTTGTTGCTTTCCCCTGTCTTCCAGTTGCACTCTCATCCCCCTCCATCTCTAGATTTATAGTTGCATTTGGTGTGTTGTCGTCGATCGATCCACACACATATCTTCTTCTCTATTTTTTTTCCAACAAAAATCTGAACTGCTGTGTCCTCAGAAGTGTCCCGGTTGTGTCCTCCGGTGTGTCTGACTTGAAAAAAAAAAAAAAAAAAGAATAAAAAATAGGACACTTGTAAAAGAGTGTCTGACACGTGTCCAACACTAGTACATTGCCCCTACTTGCTTCATAGGCAGTGGCTTATCTGATTGGTGTAGAAAATAATAAACATTTCATTTTTTTTTTCCCTTATGCTAAATGCAAGTCACGTGTTTTTTTTTGTTTTTTCTGGGTGAATATTGTTTTGTTTTGTGTTGTTAATTGGGCTTCTAGTTCATATTTTACTCTAGAGAGCTGTTATTCGTGCTCCAAAATAATGCTCCTCCACTTATATATTTTTATACGAATGTTTCTAATAAAAAGAATACCGAACCTGACGTGGCCAAAGCCACATCAGACAATTTCATTAAGCGTAAGACGCTAACTCATTTTCCTCTCTTTTCGTCTTTTCCTTTTTCTCTTTCTTCCTCTTCTTTTCTCTCTCCTTTGTCTAGTTCTTCTTCATCAATTCTTCTTATTTATCCTTTTTTTCGAAATCTAGTGGTCAAATTTCTCCTTTATAATGAATATACAAAATTTGAAGGACAGAAACAATAGTTGTAGTTTTTTTTGTTCTTCCTTTTTTGTTCTTTTTTTTGGTTTTGTGCCTTATTCGCAAAACATGAAGAAATTTTAGTTTTTTTTATCTTCAATTTTGCAAAACCAAAAGGAAGGAGACAAAACCAAAATCGATTGAGATAAGATTGAATAAAGAAGAAAAACTGAGAATTAGAGGAAGCGAGGAAAGAGAAAAGGAAGAGATAGGAGCATGTCACACGTTTATACTTTTAAAAAATAATCTGAGGTGGCCAAGCAACGTTAAGTTCGGCCTCTCTTTCGGTTGTTCGATTTGGTTCTCATATAATTTTCCTTTTTATAAATAGGGAAGTGATATTCGCACTTTATTTTTTCACATTTTTTTTTTTTTTTATTAACCCAGTGTATCCGGGAAGGCACGAACCCTTGTGGCCCCTTAATAACACGACTAATCCCCGAGAACCCAGAAGGGTGTTTCCCAACCCTGGTCGGGTAAGTTACTACAGGGGTGGCAGAGGGTAACCACAATGAACACCGAGCGGGATTTGAATCCTAGACCTTGGGTTTCCTAAGCTCCAAAGTCTAGTGAGTAAACTGCTAGCTATATCCGAAGTGGATTATTTATTATTTATTTTTTCACACCCTAATTTCATCAATAAATTATTACTAATTTTCAAATACCATAACTATTCTTTTAGTTGTGGAAAAGATCTTTTCATCTCTCCATTTTGT